ATGCAAAAAAAAAAAAAAAAAAAATTCAATCTTGAAGAAATTAAGCTAACATGAATGCCAAAAAAGGCTGTGATGCCTCTGCCCCAGGCTCCAGTAATGACAGTGAGTTGATTATATGAGATATGCCCAAATGATCATAATTACGATCTCAGATATGCATAGATGTCATAATGAAGAGGAAAGCAAAAAGCCCTTGAAGTGCCTGCTACCCTGACTCAGGGAGAAAATCATCTGATCCCCCAGCCAGCTGGAAGATAGCAGCTATCTAAAAGAGAGGACTTCACTGCAGAGAATTGGCCCCATCTCTCCAAGGTTTTATGACCAGCTATGCCTATCCCTAAGGCTTCAGAGAAAAATGGAATTAAAAAATCCAGAATTAACCTAGAGAATCAGGCTTTCGCCTTCTGCAGGCAGCCAGCTGTAGCCATGAAGCACGAGACTTTTTTTTTAGTCATTGTCTTAACGTAGAGCTGAGCGTGTGGAACACGTTGAGTGCAATGAGAGCTCTCTGTTCTCCTCCACAGCTTACGAAAGAAGGGAGTGACAAAGAACAAATATAAATTCGCAGATGTACAGATTGCACAGAAGAAATGACCTCCAAAGCCATCCGCAGAGATACTCAAAAGCCTGTTCCCAGAGTCAGATTAAAGTGTATCCAATTGGATTAAATTCCTAGCAATGGCAAGCTTACCACCTACCTACACTGGGAAATTATTCCTATGTGTAATCACCCTCACTGCATCTTTATAATGATTGAATTTTTCGAGCTTTGATTTCCAGCCATTGGATCTGTTCTGTCTTTTTCTGCAAGACTGAAATCTATACTTGATTTAGTTGTTCTTTTGTTCCTAATATATTGGTAATGCCTTCTTATTGTCTTAAGTTCTACTGGCCAGTAATAATTCCTTATTGCCTTTATCTTCTCTAAAAGTCATTTACATTTCGTAGATTCAATTTTCATTCCCAGTTATGCCCCCCTTTCCCCTTTTCCATACTTAACATATTGATTTCTTGTTTAATTATCACCTTTGTGCCTTCTTTACTAGGCTAGCTTTCCTCTCCAAGGTATCTTACTTGTGTGCTCATTAAAGCGTAGCCTTTAGAATACCCAGCAGGATTTCCTTGAGAAGCCCCATTTTCCATTAAAACTTCCCCTTTTAGCACTCAGTTAGGGAGACAAGTTGTTCTGATGAACTGATCGATTTTATGTTTCACATAATACCGCCTGGTACCGAAGTCTATTTCCACAAAGTAGAAGGTACTGCGGTACCCATGAGTTTTTGGCGATCAGTGGCTGACAGTGCATCAGCAAGTCCAACATTGATTCATCTCCCGCTCCCTGCAGACATTTCCATCTTACGATATCCTTGAGATTTTCCTGAGATTAGATCTTTAGAAAATTTAAGGCGTTCTTTTTCCTAATGATGTTCAGAAGAAGTCCTCATTCTGGATTTACTGTTGGCAAAGCATCTTTTCCTCATACATTGTGGACAAGTCCTGGAACACAGAGCTCTCCATTGCAACAGAATTTGTCCCCTGCGTGCCTGTAACAAATGCCCACCAATCACATAGTCTGCTTTGCTATTTGTAAAATGGATGGAAATTTGCACCATTTTCATGCTACGCCAGAAATTCCAAATTAATTTTCCTCATTTAAAATTTCAAAATTATTAACTTTTTGAAAGTATCTTTAAAAAGTACTAGGGAAATATTATTTCCCTTTAACATACCAATTAAATTAAAATTATCCTTGTTTTTCATACTTTGATATCTGCAAGTGCAACATAATGCAGAGAAGTCAACTGCACAATTTTTAGTGTGCAAATAAACTGCCAGTGTTAATGGTGATGGTTTGGTTTTGTTTTGTTTTGTTTTTCATTCTGGCACTTGGATTCCAAAATAAAACAAGAGTAGCAATGAATATTGATCAACTTTTTATTACCCAGTACATCAAACATTATACCCAAGTTGCTTTTGTTAAAAAACTGTGGTAGTTGAAAATATTTTTAGATATTTCCTGGCTCCTCTAAAACAAAACAAACAGATTTCTTATCCTACCACAAGTTACTAGACTGTATAGATAAAGCTATATGAGGTACAAAAAGAATAAAAAAGCGCAAGTACCCCCATGTTCAAAGCAAAAAGTATTACAATAAGTACCTTTTTTTAAAAATGAAATTCAGGTAGCCCCTACTTAGTCACCAGCACTACCAAGATGGAGCCATTCAAGTCATGACTAATCACTTAACTCCAGGCAAGTTCATTCACATCAAAGGAAAGAAACCAAACACAAAGACCTAGTATGTTGTAAGGATCACACTGGAGCTGGGCAAACACAGTTTCTTCTCTAAAGTTTTGGGGAATTTCTCTGGACTTCTGCATTTCTGAACCAAAGTGAGAAAAGAGTGCACAAAGGACAAATAATCCCCGAGGAGGTACACCTGTAGTCCCTCGTCTAAAAAACATCAAAAGTATATTAAACAAAAATATCACTGTGGCAACAAGGGAGTTTGAAGGAACCCCAGAATATGTTGTGGCTTGTTACAGCCTCCTCCCGAGGGCACCACTCAGGGTTGCAAGCAACACGGGTTCAACTCTTCAAAAGAAGGAAAGAACTGAACACAGGTCTCCCGTACTGTGGGTGAGTGCTGAAGTCATTGGGCTTTAGGGTAAAATAAGGAGAGCACCTCCCTTTTCCTCCTGAAGCTTTGTGAACTTCTGTGCTTTGGTTTCATTATATGTAGTCAAAAATGAAATAGTATTATCAGGGGTAAAAGGACTCAGGAGTACTGGTGGATCGCAAGCTGAACATGAGCCAGCCTGGTGCTCTTGCAGCAATGAAGGCAGATGGTGGTGTGGACTGCCTCGGTAATTCTGCAGCCAGCGGACCAAAGGACATGGTAATGCCACTCACTCAGCACTTATTAGGCCACATCTGGAATACGATGTCCACTCTTGGTCCTTCTAATTCAAAAGAGACATTTAAAAATTGGAGAGGGTCTAGCAGAGGGCCATCAAGATGATTAGAGGACTGGACAATTTGACAGATGAAGAAAGGCTGAAAGAATTGGGTTTGTTCAGCATGGAGAAGAGACAGCTGGGGGTTGAACAGAGTCTTCCAACACATGGTTGTTATAGAGATGATGGTGATTCTCTTCAGAAAGATGCCCACTGAGAAGAGGCAATAGGCACAAGCTGCTTCAGGAGAAACCCACCTGGGTATAAGAAATTCTTCAACATGAGAGCAACCAAGCTTTGCACAGGTTGCCCAGAAAAGTGGGGGAACTCCATGGAAATCACTGGCCTTGACAGGCCCCTGATCATCTCATCTAAGGTCCTGCTTTCAACAGGAGCTTGGAGCAGACGATCTCCAGAGCTCCCTCCCAACCTAAGCTTTTCTCCATGATTCCGTAACTATCAAGGTTTTGTTCTGACTAGAAAACACAAAACAAACAAAACCACTCCATGCTACTAGAAATACATAATTTTCAGTTAGGGCTCCAGACTGAAAAGCAGACTTGCCGTGTAGTTTTAGTTCAGCTTCATCAATGCATTATCTCTCCATTCACCTTCACCAAGGATTTTCTAAGACACTGCTATAAACTTTGTCAGTAAACATAGATAGAAACAATTAGCTGATTTTTGATGTCTTGTATGTTATGCCTCGAATTGTTGATAGGCATTTATTCAATGCAATCCTATTTATTTACAAACCATGTATACTATATGCTGTTTCCCTGAACACAGTAGGAAGCAAACAGCAGGAGACAGTTTCTTTACTCAATTTCAAGCACCTCTTTCTTGGAGTCATGTTGCAAGCAGTCCTCAGGCTGATGGGCTTCCTTGCTCCCTTTTCTGTGCATTTCTGTAGTGCTCCTGCCCCTTGCACACATCCTCACAACCACAATAAAACTGATCCCATTATTTCCAGGACATAAAAAAATTCCTCAGATGGTCTAGCTAAGGCCATACCATGACTAGCACACAGTCACACACTGTCTCTGGAGAGAACAGTTGAAGACTGGAAACTATTGCTAAGTAAAAGGAAATTTAAATATCTTGTTTCAGTTTGCTTTGACAGCAGGCCTGAAACAGCTTCAGAGTGATGGGCTACAACTGCAAAACCACATACTTATAATGCTTGTAAAACACTTACCTAACCATTGCGTGACAGTGACTACCATGGTGAATATATTGGATGAATATACAGGGCCATGCTTTGATGAAAACAAAAAATCCGTACCAGGAAATTTTACAGGTGAAAAATTGGCAAAGTAAGAAATAAAGAAAATGGCACAGCCGTGCTACCTTGTAACCCGCTTCACTTTAATTCCTGCACACATGACAAATGTATACTTTATTAATGATAAAAAAATTGCTTATACATGTTGGAACAAAAAGTAAACAACATTTACAGAATTGGAGACTGTATTTTCAACTCTAAAAGAAATCTTAGCAGACAAAAAAAATATGAAGCAGGAGAGAAACACTACCACTGTATGCAACATTACCCAGGGCAAAACCAAATATTCTGGTTATCACAGCAAGGTATCACCTTGCTGTATCCCTCTAATAACCCTGCACTGGAAAAGCATAATATCCAATGGAAGCCCTTATAAGGCATCTCTCATAAAAGGCTTGTGAAAAGAAATATGAAAAATGAAAATTTTGGTAGAAGCAATGTATTAGCCCTTATGTCTTCTTCCACGCTTCAAAAACAGAAAGGGGAGAGCACGCTTTTGTTCAGCTCGCGCTGTAATTCCCTCATTAGCAATAGCATTGCTGACAGCCCTGATGTCCTTACTTAAGAAGGATGTTTGAAAACTTGAAAGAAACTACAGGAAAAACTGGTGATACAGAAATCTTGCCTTACAGTTAGAAACTAAAGCACCTCAACGAGATTGGCCTAACAACAAAAGAGGGCTGAGATGCCTTGATCCCAGCCTTTCAGTATTTTCATTGAATAATGTCCAGTGCTAAAGGCTTTTTAATCCAGCAAAGATTCAACAAGTTAAGTCAAAGCTAAATTCAGACCACAAATAAAACACTTCACCTGAACAGTGAGTGTTGGTATAGATGTGGTGGACTCTTTGTTCTCTGAACTCTTTAAATATGAACAAGACATCTTTCTAATGAAGTTCACCTTGAAATAATGGTCTTCAAGCAAGACTTACAGAGCGATGCTCTGTGGTCAATGCTAAGGCTGGACTGGATTACATCACCAAAATGCTCGGGCTTTTCTTGTCTTAAAGTCTATGCAGCAATTACATCGAAACATGCTTGTAATTCACTCTAAGCACATTTTGTACATAATTATTAAATTATTACTACACCCTTATAGACACACTGAAAGTTATTTTCATGTAAATGGGCTACTTTTGTAGAGAAAATTTTGACTAGTGTCCTAGGACTCACATATTTAAGGAATTACAATTTAACTGGGATATAGGAAAATTCACATATAGAAATTCAATGGCTGATCTGCTCAGTGCTAGCTGCAAAGGTCCTACAGAGACTAAAAAGTATTCAAATAATTCTCCAGTGTCATATTTGCCTGAAACCCCAGCTGCTTTTTATGAAAGCTAAGAATCTCTAATATTCTAAGTGTTTAGCTATTGGGTATATTAGTTTATGAGGCTCAGCAAAGAACAGACCTTGTTTATTAACCTTTCACTAAACCCCTCACAAACTCAAACACTGGTGAGAGAATAAGAACAAAAACGCACATGAATGTTATCAGGAAACGTATATATTTATTACTTTCCGATTTTCCCAGCACTTGACAGTCTACTTGATAACCATTGAATTTTCATTACTTTCATTGATTTGATCAACTCCTTTTAGTTCAGAACATGAATGAGCGGAAAAGTGAAGAGCCAAAATAAAATTCCCTTTCATAAAGCATTTGTCTTCATACAGAATTCACCAGCATAATTACACCCCTATAGTTCTGATGGTATAACACCCCATGTGGACGCTTGAATTCTACAGGCATTCATGCAAGATTAAAAAGCATCCACAAGGCATAATTATACTACTATAGTCTCTGGTAAATTTCCCCATATAAAGAAGACCTTTCAATGTTGAAAAGAGAGGTTATTTGGAAGAAAAAAAAAAAGGGAAAAAAAAGAAAAGCCCTTTGATTTCCTAATGTAGAAATTTTATGAGGTTTTCTGCTCTTCAGTTACAACACACTATATAAGCATGCACAAAAAAAATATTACAAATATGAAAACAAGGTTCCTTGGATGATTCATTTTGACTGACCTACGGTCAAAGCACATTGACCCAAAATGATATCACAATTACTCAAGGATATTTACCAAGGTTTGGGAATTTTTAAAGATCTAGGTAATTTTAATATCATGGGTACAATTGATTTGTGGCATATGTGATCATCAATTCTGCAAAGTAGCTTCTGTAAGCTATACTTAAGCAGCAAATTGTTTTGTGACACTGCATAAAACCAGATCTGAGCTCTCAATACCATGAGAGAGGAAATGACAGAATTACAGTAGGTTTTGTATTCTCTGTATAAAAGATTAACGTAAGTCTGATCTTACCCCAGTTCCTTCACCTTGTAGCTATGCAGTTAGAAAGCACAACTTCCAGGGCTCAGAGTTAGATTAAACTTACAAAAAAGCTAAACATATGAAGGTAGAGGAGTTAACGATTAAGGCATCCAAGCAACCATATTCTTTTAAGTAAAACTGTGCATAAAGGGTTAAAAAAATTTAGAGTCTGCAGAAATAAACTAAATTTAACTCCACATTTCCCTTAGGTTCTCATTATAGAAGAAAATTAAGGTTGCCTGGATGACTTTAACTGTGTGTTTTCTTTTTTAATATATTTCATTTTATTGAAGTGCAATATTTTCACTACATTTTCTAGGTTTCAATTATTTTTTTGTATAGCTAATGCACTTCTAAAATATTTTAACACAAATATTCTCATACATTCAGCTTTTACATAGTTTCTTGGCAGGGATTTTTCTTGGATTTCTTTTCTTTATAATTATTAAAAATGTTATACATGAGCACTAAGAAAGAACCACACAGATAATATGGTTTTAGTAATCAAAATACACGGGGTAAAACCAGCATATTGCTTTTCAATGTCTTCATATCATCATAATAGCATGAACAGTCAAAAGTGATGAACCTGAACATTGATTTACTATTGATCATTAGATCAGAGATGTAAATTATTATGAGAGGACTCAAGACTTCTTGTTTCTGAGTCCCAATTAGAGCTAGGCATATTTTGGAGGAGGGAGACCAGCAGGAAAACAAGTGAAAGCATCAGTATCAGTCACCCTGCACTGTTCAGAAATGTAACTTAGTAAGTTAAAAAAAATAAAAAAAGCCTCCCTCCCCCCCAAAAAAAGCCAAGGGTGGGGAAGGTAGCTGGGACATGACTAATAAACAGCCAAGTGTTGAGAGAGCATTCATTTGCTGTATGGCAGAGCTGAGTTCAACTCTGCGGTGCCTCCAGGCCTGCCTCTTCTACCTCCCAGAGGCTTAGAGTTGTTGACCCCACCTTGGTTACTGGATATATAGTCATATTGTGTCACGATGATATGGTTAATGGTTTTCGTAACTTTAGTCTGTATTTCTTCAATTCTAGCCTGTACATAAAAGTTTGATTAATTTTAGTTCTATGGTGAATCTGAAGGGTCTGTGCTGCTAATTTCTGAGATAATTCCATATTAATTAAAGCAGCAAATTTCTTCCAGAAACTGTTGAAAATAATTTTATTGAAACAGTGGGTGGTGGTGTAAAATAACTGAACATCCATCTTACACTCAAAGAGGAAATAAGGTCAAGTCCAAGAGAATATATTTTCACATGTAAATCAGATGGGTTGCCTTTGCTTTTAGTACAACACAGATGCTATGGCT